GCATTAACACTGGAAAACCATATTCAGCAGCAGACACTGCCCCAAAGAACTTGCAGCTGAAGTACATAAAATACGTTTGGGCCAAAGGGAGAAATCATCTTTCTATGATCACTGTGAAATGTGGGAAATAAGCCAGTGTCACCCTCTAGGGCATGACCAGTAGCTGAACCCAGTCTCCTTCACTCTCTTCCAATCAGTTGCAGGGAGATTTTTCCTATTTTCACCCATTACAGTCATTAGTAGAAGGAAATATCAGTAGGATATTGGGAATGAAAAGAGACAAATTTCATTTTGTTTTCTTACTGTTTCACTTATTTTAATAATCTGTCACTATATGACAAAGTAGTTGGTAGAAGGAGAAAGCATAGTATGCTCTCTACATAGTGTTTTTTAGAATCATAGAATAGTTAGGGTTGGAAAAGACCTTAAGCTCATCAAGTTACAGCCCGCCTGCCATGGGCAGGGACACCTCACACTAAACCATATCACCCAAGGCTCTGTCCAGCCTGGCCTTGAACACCGCCAGGGATGGAGCATTCACAGCTTCCCTGGGCATCCCATTCCAGTGCCTCACCACCCCTGCAGTAAAGAACTTCCTCCTTATATCCAATCTAAACTTCCCCTGTTTAAGTTTTAACCCTTGTCCTGTCACTACAGTCCCTAATGAAGAGTCCCTCTCCAGCATCCCTGTAGACCCTCTTCAGATACTGGAAGGCTGCTATGAGGTCTCCACGCAGCCTTCTCTTCTCTAGGCTGAACAGCCCCAACTTTCTCAGCCTATCTTCATATGGGAGGTGCTTCTGTCCCCTGATCATCCTCGTGACCCTTCTCTGGACTTGTTCCAGGTTTAGCCAATCCAGTAGTGGAGTATATATTAGCCATTCAATCTGTAGCAAGGAGAAGGCAGCGGATGTGTCAAAACCTGATCTGGCTGTTAATTTACAAATTTTGAACAATAGCATGAAATGACTGAGAAAAGCAGTAAATGACAATGTCGAAAATATTTTTGGTACATAAAAACCTTCCTTTTAGATTGAGCCTATTCATAAGTAATATGACACACAATTCGGAGAAGATATTAGGGAGTCTCTTGTACATTTAGATTTTCAGATTAGCTGGTGAGCTGCACAAATGTGACCTGAATTACGACTCTCCTGTGGTTTCTACTTACAAATCCTTCTACTAGAAATAAATTATGAAATACATTTAAAGTAATGAGGTCATGAAAAAAGAATGTTGGGGTTTTTTAAACCTAATGGACATAGCTACTTTGAATAGTGTTGTGGGGTTTTTTGCTGTGGAATAAAAAAAAACCAAAAAACCGTTCAGGTCTCTTTCACATATAAATACATGCATTTATTTCAGCAGCATCTCAGTGAATCTAGGTTTGACCAATAAAACTTACCTGGAATGTCACTCCTGGGTAGTCAGAAAGATTCGGGGATGATGAGTGAGGAATCTGGATGTGATTCAGTGCTTAATGCTGTGTCAGCTTCACAGCAAGGCAGGATCCTGGGTCATAGGAAAGAACAGCGAATCAAATTTTGTTTTGAAGAGTGTAATTTCATGTATGTACAAAGCTATTACTTACGTCTCTGGCAGCGAAGCTATGTATTATATTTACCAAAAGAGCATCAACAAATCTCATAGAAGTGGTCACATAATGGTATATTAAGGAATTTCAAAGAAATTCTGATCAAGAAGGTACTCAGGCTATGAATACCTACGGAATTGTCAGGTACCAGCGCAGTGTTGTAAAGAGCACTACAAGAGGGTTTCCGCTGGCACGAGTGTTGCAGTTACTCACCCAACAAATCTTTTGCTCAGTAATTCTTATCAAAAACAACAAAAAAATCTAAATAATTATACCACTGGTAATGTTCTTTCCCCAATCTCTGTTCTAAAACAGCCAACACAAATCTTTGTTTTGTTCTCTTTTTCTGATTGTTGGGTTTTGGTTTTTTTTAGGGAAGAAGTTGGTATCCAAACAATTAGAAACTTTTCCATCAAGGATGTGGATGGAATAGGTTAAATGAGGATAATAAATCATGGTAATAAAAAGCTGCCCCTACCAGTATATGTGTTGACTTTCTGAGCAAGTTTTTCAGAAAACAGGCTCTTAGCCTTAGTATTTTTACTCCTCCATGAACTTCCCAGGAAAGCAATTCTACTAACATTAAGGACACTCCCTCTGTTAACAGCCTGTTGTAGTGGTGGGTGTTGATTTAAAACCAAAGAGGCAAAAATAACTGGTTTAATATTCAGATGTGTGAAATGTACAGATCACTAGTTGGGAAAACACGTAATTTCTTTTAATGCTTATTTGTTAAAAATAATAGCTATTTTTGACCTAGCTTATATATCTGTGTTGATTTTTCTTAGCTCTGGAGAAAAAGCTGCAATATAAATAATGTGGCATAGCTATTTACTCAGCAGTCTGTCCAAACAGACTGACCTGATTAAGGTGAAACTTTTTCATTGCAGCAGTTTCATATTTGTGCATTAGGAGATTCGTAGTGAAAGGCATGTTCTTTTTGCAGGTTTATTTCAATAAAAACAAAGCCCATCTCAAAACCCAAATATTCAACCACAAAATCAGATTATTTTTAATTCCAAAAAGGTTCCATAATACCTTCTGAGTATTTAGATGCTTTTTACTCCTGTTCTACTTTGGGGCCTGTTTTCCTGTCTGGACCTAATCTTCTGTGACGTGTTGCTATCTCTGCTTTATGGCTATGGACATAATCTATTCTCTGATGAATTGAGGGAAATACAGTGTAATAACGTAGCTACACGAGGGAATGAGAATATGAGTCACTCAAAATTTAATATATGTGAGGGCCAAAAGCTCGTATTTAAAGCTCCCCTGGAAAATTGAATTCTTCTCTGAAAAGGGAAAAAAAAACCCCCACAAATATTTTTAATTATCTCTAGACACCTAGTTCTCATTTACTGTTGAATAGGTATGGTGACTTCAGTAACATTAGTTCACAGGAAATGAGCTTAGAATTTGAGCTGAGCAGAAACTTCATGATGTGCGTGAAATGAAAGGCTCAGTCTGAATTTATATACAAATGACTTAAACTGATAGGCAGAAGAGAAGGGTAATGGTGAATTAAGATCATGTTGGGCTATGGGTATTTTTCAGTCGTACTCTACTTGTACAGAGAACTTTTTTGCTGATGGCTCTGTTAATCCTTTCAGTTTTTAGCATTTGAGAGAGAAAGCACAAGTGGTGTGTATGTGGCATGGCCCACACGACTGAAATTCATCTGTGAACTACAGTGTCAGCTTGACATCTATTACTGTCTGAGACTCTAGGATAGGTATCTTTAAACATTGAATAACAAGCAGAAGTTGTATTTCAAAGCCTTGAAACTAGCTGCCAGTCTGAAAGCTTTCCAATTTGGCTAGAACATTCTCAGCTTGGATTGCTTAATCAATGCTCTGTTTTCACTTCAGCGGCAAAAAATAATACAAAAATAAAGCTTCTCTATTAACAAATTGTTTGTCATTTCCAAGCTGGCTGCAGAGGTCTGTGCAGTCATCTCTACTGAGTCACTAAATCTCTTATGCCTCCTCCTCTTTGGAGAGTCATTAAGCTAGAAGCATTAGCCTCTACAGGGCTGACCAGGATGGCTTGTTTTAAAACAGATCAAAACTGTTGGCCGGCACCTTGTTGAAAACTTCCCCATTATGGATCATTCTGATTGACTGAGCATAAATTAGTGCCAGTTCTTTTGTTATTTTTAACACAAGTTGCGAAGATCATCATAATTTAGCCTTTAGGCTAGGGTTGGCACAGGTATTTTGTGCATGTGAGCTCTTCCAATTTTTCTTTTTATTAACCCAAAATCTCTTGCATAGTCTGTCTATTAATTAGAAAGCTGAGTAACTGTTATTCAGTGCATCTACAAGACTGTTGAGAAACTGGGTTTCAGAAAGGCTGTTTGCCCACTTCTTCATTAGTTTTAGCTCAAGTCAACAGTGTCACTGCTTCTGAAGCCTGGATTCGTACAGGGTACACCACAACTCTGCAGTTAACCTATAGTTCTGCAACAAGCTGTTCACTACAAGTCAGCTCTGCAGACCAGCACTTCAGATGAAATGTGTTTGCCAGAGGTTCATGTCCACACATAGAGCAGTGTGCATAGATTTGCACAAGTGTGCATAGATTTGAAGGGGTTATGGAGCAGATGCACATTTCAGCTGACGTGGCCTCTGACAAAGGGGCAAATGTGGACAGCCTTTTGAAATCCTCTGTGCTAGAATTCACTTGAGCTTGTCCCTTTGGTGAGAACAAGGGGGGTGGAAGAGAGGAGAACTATCCTCTTTTCCTCCCTTGTAATTCAGGGAGATTAGTTCCTATCAGGGAGAAAGAAGGAACAGTCCTTGCCCCCAGGAAGAGCTTTGTATGCATCATGGGAGGGTGTTAGCTATGTCTTTCCTCTCATCCCCTCCATTATCTCACAAAGACAGACTCTCCTCTTCTGTAACTAGGTTTTCAGAGCTCATCAGCAAAGGTGCAGGTCCACATTTTCACAGAATACGGCTTGACTTTTTGTTAGCGTCAGAGAGAATTGAACTCTAGTATCCAAAGGCAGCTTTTAGGTCTTTTTTTTAAAGACTACACTCCAAATTAAATAATTTTGCTGTCTGACCAGTTCACAGGGACAAATTACATCTCTGTTTCCTGTCTTGTATGCTATAAATGCAATTTGAGGGTATTATATTTATTATACTTTGAACTTTAAGTATTTCCTGCAGTTTAAGGAAAACTTCATTTAAAAAAGCACTAAGCTACTGACCATGATGTAGAAATGATTTAGCAATTATTTTTAGTAATAGAGAAAGTCCAGGGGAAAAAAATTCATGGCCTACTGGGACAATTTATAAGGAAAAAAATAGGATGAAAATCATCCGATAAATGACATCATACAGTTCATCCTGGCCTAATTTGTGACTTTCAAGTTTTGAACATTTCTTAATTTGATTTGCAGGTGATGATCTGCTGTCAGAATAAATAAATCTTACAAAGTGCTGAGACTGCTCAGCCTTTTGCTGTGGTATCGCTTCCACGTGAGGGACCTGTATTATCATCTTTCTTCAAGTATCTTCTCTCCTGTGGTAAGTTTTTCTGACATAAAATCTTCCTTCTGTGTCAGGAGTTTTAAGAAGAAGGAGTGAGGCGAGTTCTGGTCCTTGATTTTGTTGGTAGAACTGGAAGCTACAGTCAGTAAACCTAGTTGTACTCATGTTGAACACATGTAAGGCTGTGGAGTACAGCAAATACCACAGAACTAGATTACAGGTGTCACTAAGTGTAGTTTGTATTCACTTTGTCCCCATTAAGTGGATCACATTTGCACAGTGTGTAAGATTTCTCTACTTGTCTTATTGTTTGCAGTTATCTTTTTTTTAAATATTGGCATCTGTATTTGCGACTTTCGACTTTCAAAGTGATGTCAGTCCCTCTGAATAATTAAAAAAGAGCCTGTCATCCAGTATTAAAAAGAAACAAACAAAAATCCATGAATAATTCTGACAACTAGCCTTTAGAATGGAGAAGTAATTAGTTCTTACTGAGCTTGGTCCAAAGATCATCAAAGGAATTTGGAGTCTTTCCATTAAAGTTAATTGACTTCAGAGCAAAGTTCTTTCTTGGACACACTGGCTTAGCCGCACAATCACCCTGCTACCTGTCAGCAACATCACCCACAGACAGGGTGTGTTAGGTGTCCTATTTGACATTGTTTCTGGTAAAGATGATGCCTAAGTTGATGATGCCCCTATAGAGGACGTTGAAAAAACTTTGTGCCCTGAGTACCTGTTTATTTGGCAGTCACCAAAGCCTGCAGCTTTCGCTCATTCCAGGATCACTGTGGAGCTTTCATCAGAAGTGTCAACATTAACAAGATTTTAAACTGCAGGCGAATATAGAACATCGTTTGATCCTGGCAAAGAACTGTTTGCCTCAGCACTTGTGGGATAATGTAGAGTAAGCAGCAAATCATTGATGAATCTGTAATGCTACACCAGTCTCAGGAGTGCTCAGGCAAAATTGCTGCAAAGAAGAAGGAAAGACACCAAAAGTGATTAAATGTGGCGGTAGATTCAGACCTTGGGAGACCTCTAGGGAGACTCTTCTTTTTAAAAAAAGAAAAACAGAAAGGAGAAAAGGAAAAGGGGTACAAAATTATGTGTTTAACCCTTTCATTCCGGCTTAATAAAAACCAAAAGGAAAGCACAGATGCTGAATGTTTACTAAACTTTAGTTGGCCTGGAATCATCCTTGCAGTTGACTTCTCGCCATTATCCACAAGTTTCTAGTGAAAATGGCTATGAGGCCATTAATTCTCATCACTGTTATTTGCTTTTGCTGTCTATAGAGATAAATAATAAACATAAAATCTGTGCAACACTAATAGATCAAAGTATTTAATCTTTCTTTGCTTTTTTAAAACGTGGCAAATTCACTGACAATATTCAGCAGTACTTGAATGGTGATGAGAGAACATCAGTGGAATTGCACTGTCAAAATGCTACAACACATCTGTCAATGCAGACAGTTGGTCCTTGGACTAACATTTCAGTGGGTGCTTACTTGCTCTCCATCACTGTTTTGTCTTGTATCTGTCTGACATAGTTCAAGTATAGAACCAGTGGGGTCAGTGGAGGTTCTTCTGTAGTCATGGCTCAGTTTCCATCCCTGTTATGTATTTGCTCTTGTAAAATAGGTGAGTTGCACCTGGGCCAGTCATACTAGGGTTTACAGAGCTTCCTTTCTTACACCCTGGCTTCTTGGATAGTCTGCTTCGTGACAGGGCTTTGTTTCCTACCTAGCATGTTTCTGTGCCTAGGGAGTAGGGCTCCAATTTCATTTGGTGCCCCAGGTTACTTAGCAAACAAATTTAATTTAGTCAGTTTCAAATAATGACATCAAGGTAAAAAAACTCCCTATCACATTAATTATCCTCAGAGTATTGCACTCCCTTTGCAAATTTATTTTGGAGACTAAGAAAGGTTATACTGCAGTATTAAATACAGTCATCTGTTTGGATGAAAGTAGTTGCAAAGTTCCAGCTGATACTCATGTGAAGTTTAGATTTGAGCATACATTCCACCTACTGATACCAAAAATACCAAGTTAATGTACCAAAAATAAACATTCATGTCAAGAAAACAAAGTTTTTAAGTGATTATTCTGAAAATTTCAGTAGCATTTTGCAGCCATTTGCATTGCATGATTCATGCTTGAAATATTGTTTCTTACCTTCTCTTAAATATACTTCTCTATTGTTTAAAATGAAGATGCCTTTTATTTTCCACTAGCTGTTGGTTCTGGAGGTAGATGGGGATGATTGTTAGTCTTTCATTGTTTGCAGCAGTGGGGATATCACTTCAGACTATATTGGGCTTAGATGATGTAAGGATTTTTAGTTTCATGCTAGTGGGCATGCTTCCAGGCCAGTGAACATCCAAAAGAATTTTAGTCTCTAAGGTACAATCAGAAGAGTGTTGGCATTCTGGATGGGCAAAGCAGCCCATAAATCAGCAATGTAGGTCTGCATGTTCCATGAAAAAAGGGCCCGAGGAGGCTTTTAAAATCTGTCATAAAGCACATGCTCAAGGGATTCGGCAGGTCTTAAGAAGAGAATCTACAAAAAGGAATAATTATCTTGGGGAACAAACAAGAGGAATTAGAGGTGTGTGGACTTCTACAGGGGTATAATAGGCATCACAGAAACATGGTGGGATGGCTCCTATGACTGGAGTGTTGGAATGGAAGGTTACAGGCCTGGCAGGCGGGGAGGGGGAGTTGCCCTTTATGTTAGGGATAGGCTGGAGAGTATGGAACTCTGTCTGGGGCAGGTGAGCAGTTAACAGAGAGTTTGTGGGTCAGGGTTAAAGGGAATATAGCTATGGGAGACATTACTGTGGGGATCTGTTACAGACCGCCTGACCAAGGAGAACCTGCGGATGAAGCACTCCATAGACAGATAGGAAAAGCCTCACGCTCACAGGCCTTTGTTCTCATGGGTGACTTCAACCACCCTGACATCTGTTGGAAGGACGGTACGGCCCGGCACAAGCAATCCAGGAGGTTCCTCGATTGTGTGGAAGACAACTTCCTTCTGCAAGTAATAGAGGAGCCAACGAGGAGAGGTGCCATGCTTGACCTCGTGCTCACCAACAGGGAAGGGCTCAGTGGAAATGTGACTCTCCAGGGCAGCCTTGGATGCAGCGATCATGAGATGATTGAATTTGAGATCCTCAGGACAGTGAGAAGAGCATGCAGCAAGCTCACTGTGCTGGACTTCAAAAGAGCAGACTTTGGCCTCTTCAGGAACCTGCTTAGTAAGGTTCCATGGGATACAGCCCTAGAATGCAGGGGGGTTCAAGACTGTTGGTTGATATTCAAGGATCACCTGCTACAAGCTCAGGAGTGTTGCATCCCAACTAGAAGGAAGTGCAGCAGGAGGGCCAGGAGACCTCCTTGGGTGGATAAGGAGCTGCTGAGGAAAATTCAAATGAAAAAAGAGGCTTGTAATAAGTGGAAGCAAGGACAGGTGGAAGGAAGAGTACAGGGATGTTGTCCGGAAAGCTAAGGCCCAGTTAGAATTAAACTTAGCTAGAGGTATTAAAGATAACAGGAAGGGATTCTTTAGGTACATAGCAAATAAAAATCGGACTAGGGAGAATGTAGGCCCCCTCAGGAAGCTCTTAATAGAACTGGCTACTCTGGATTTGGAGGAGGCTGAGGTTCTGAATGACTTCTTTGCCTTGGTCTTCACTGGCAAAGGCTTGACCACACCACCCAAGTCTTGGAAGGCAGATGCAGGGACTGTGAGAATGAAGACCTTGGGCCCACTGTAGGAGAGGATCTGGTTCAAGACCATCTTAAAAATCTGAACGTGCACAAGTCCATGGGACCTGTTGAAATCCATCCACGGGTCCTGAAGGAGCTGGCAAATGAAGTTGTGAAGCCGCTGGCCATCATATTTGAAAAATCATGGCAGTCAGGTGAAGTTCCCGATGACTGGAAAAAGGGAAATATAACCCCCATTTTCAAGAAGGGGAAAATGGGTGACCGAGGGAATTACAGACCAGTCAGTCTCACCTCTGTGCCTGGCAAAATCTTTGAGCAGATTCTCCTGGAAGGCTTGCTAAGGTACATGAAAAACAACAAGGTGCTTGGTGACAGGCAGCATGGCTTCACTAAGGGGAAATCCTGCCTGACCAATTTGGTGGCCTTCTATGATGGGGCTACAGAACTGATGGACGGGGGTAGAGCACTTGATGTCATCTACCTGGACTTGTGTAAAGTGTTTGACACTGTCCCACACGACATCCTTGTCTCTAAGTTGGAGAGACATCAATTTGATGGATGGACTACTCAGTGGATAAAGAAGTACCTGGATGGCCGCACACCAAGAGTTGTGGTCAGTGGCTCAATGTCCAGCTGGAGACCAGTAACGAGTGGCGTCCCTCAGGGATCGGTGTTGGGACCAGTCTTGTTTAACATCTTCGTCGCTGACATGGACAGTGGGATTGAGTGCGCCCTCAGCAAGTTTGCCAATGACACCAAGCTGTGTGATTTGGTTGATACGCTGGAGGGAAGGAATGCCATCCAGAAGGATCTTGACACACTTGTGAGGTGGGCAGATGCCAACCTCATGAAGTTTAACCATGCCAAGTGCAAGGTCCTACACCTGGGTCAGAGCAATCCCAGGCACAGCTACCGGTTGGGCAGAGAAGAGATTCAGAGCAGCCCTGAGGAGAAGGACGTGGGGGTGTTGGTTGATGAGAAAATGAACATGAGCCAGCTTCAGTGTGCACTCGCAGCCCAGAAAGCCAACCGTATCCTGGGCTGCATTAAAAGGAGCGTGACCAGCAGGTCGAAGGAGGTGATCCTGGCCCTCTACTCTGCTCTCGTGAGACTTCACTTAGAGTATTGTGTGCAGTTCTGGCGTCCTCAACATAAAAAGGACATGGAGCTGTTGGAACAAGTCCAGAGAAGGGCCAGGAGGATGATCAGGGGACTGGAGCACCTCCTGTATGAAGACAGGCTGAGAAAGTTGGGGCTGTTCAGCCTGGAGAAGAGAAGGCTGTGTGGAGACCTCAAA